AAAAAAAAAAAAAAAAAAAAAAAAAAAAAAAAAAAAAAAAAAAAAAAAAAAAAAAAAAAATACAAAAGTAAAGAAGTAGAAAATTTCATTTATAGAACGAAGCTAAATTACAAAGGCTACCTCTTACACAGTGCTAAACTATACGAAAGTAAGCTTTCACAGGCTGCTAGATGGTAAGAAGTAAACTTAATTATAACATAGTACATGAGATCACTATGCTCATTAAACACTCATACTACTTCACATTCTTTCCAATACTTAAAAGGTCATATTGGAAGATGTCGAGTTAATGCTCATCTTTCACCTTCACCAACGTCAGATCTTGACATTCTTCGAAGTTTGAGTGAAAATGAGTGAGGAGAAATTAAATGCACAGGTTTATCACTGGCACGTATGAACTTATATGACCATGCCCCTAATAGGGTTCCTGTAACCGGCCCAACAAAGTACACCCAAAGTCCTTTATAATTATCACTTGCCATTGCAGGTCCTAATGTCCTCACAGGGTTCATCGACCCACCTGATACAGGTCTGAATTGTGGCTAACACAAATTCTCATTAGATTTATTTGTTTAATAATATGTCAATTATAAAAAAACGTGTTTGGTAAAATTAGTCCGGGATACTTACAATATATATTTTTTAATAAAATAATGTGGTTTTGTATGGTTTGTGAAGTTTAAAAATTTGTGATTGAATCATGATTTCAAAAGAATATGATAAAAATAGGTTTATGTAAAAAAAATAAAATAATAATAATTATTATATAATTAAATAAAAAAAATACATTTTTATGGGTGAAAATGGTAACAAAAAATCGTGTGCTTCCTTACCCAGCCAAGATGGATGTGATACACACGGCAGAACCAACTGCCAAACCTGCCAGCTCTCCCACCTGTCAAAGCAACAGCCATTTATTTAATGAAATCAAAACTTTAGGAATAAAAATTTATTAAGTGACCTTCTTTTTAATTTCTTTCATTTATACTATACTTAACTATATAAATTTAATACTACTTAACGTTAGATCCCACATCAATTATAGAGAAGAACGACTGTAAAAGAAGGTGGATTGTGAGATCCCACATCGATCTCTTCTTAGCAGATAAATTTTAAAAATTTTGAAGAGAAGTTTAAAGAAGACTATAACTACTAGCGGTGAACTTAGACTGTTCTAAGACAATGAGAAGAAAAGTGTAGAGTCTTACTGCTTTAGTATCGGTTGCAACAGCGCATGTGACAAACATCATTGAGAAGGTAACAACAATCTCCATGACGAGTGCTTGTAAATCTGATCCCGATGGCGTTGTAGTGCCCAAGTGTTTGATGGGATGTAACAATAGGCGCAGTGTAAAGGCTGCACAGGTTGCCCCACTCAATTGAGCTGCTGCATACAATGGAACCTACCGACCACAAATACTTTCAATGTTACTTTCAATCTTATCAATTTTTTTTCGACCAATTCACACAACCACATAATTTGACATCTCATTCTCTTACCCACCCACCCACATATATTCTTATAAACTTCAATATGTATTTGATGATTCATCTTCTAATTTCACCAATGGTGTAAATCTAAACTAGTTAGCTTTAAAATCTTGTTTCTTAGTCTAGACGATTTAGAACTACGATTTTTAAGGGTATAGTCAATCTAGTAAGTTACATAGCTTCAAGCTAACTTTGGGAAGCTATCTGTAACAATCTAAGCCCACCGTGAGTAGATATTGTCCATTTTAACCCATTACGTATTGTCATCAGCTTCACAGTTTTAAAACGCGTCTGCTAGAGAAAAATTTTCACACCTCAATAAGAAATGATTCGTTCCTTTCTCCAACCATTGTGAGATCCCACGTTAGTTGGAGAGGGAAACAAAACATTTCGTATAAGGATGTGGAAACTTCTCCCTAGCAGACGTGTTTTAAAACCTTGAGAGCACGCTTAGAAGGAAAAGCTTAAAGAGGACGATATTTGCTAGTGGTGAGCTTGAGCTGTTACAAATTATGTCAAAGTTAGGTCATCAGGTGGTGCGAGACACTAGTCATAGTAGGGTTAGACCAAACATGTTAAGAGACGGAAAATTCCTTACATTTATTAGATTAACAACCTACCTACTAAAAATTAACAACTAAGTCTAATGCTACCAAGTCTAATACTAGAACTCCAACCAAAACTTGCTCAAACAAACCATTATTAAAGCGTTAAGACAAAAAGGTGTATTCTTAAGAAGAAAAATGAAAGCAAAAACGATTAGAACACAATAATTGTGTTGATTGATTGGATTCCAAAAGTGAATAGATTATCCAATCTTGACTATAGAAACACACATGAAGATATGTTGTCCTTTGGTAGGCCTTCCACTCCAAATGGGCCAATAAGTTTTTGGTGGACATCCCCATCCCTATTTCTATCTCTATGCTCTAAAGTGTTGGAATTATGCTACCTAAATGTCACATCCCATTCCTTGGCCGGCGATGAAGCCAAGGATGTGGCCATAAAAGGTTCTCAAAAGGGCATTAGGGCATTGTCGATGTGGTTGAGGCTCAAGAATAATATTTGTCTTGGACCCTACATCATGCTTGTGGGCACTAAATATGGCCTAGATTTCCCCTTCTTTCTAATTCTTTTCCATTATGAACATAGTGACACTTCTAGACTTACCAAACCAAATCTAGAAGAAAGCTCGATTTGGAATTTCATCACACTCGTCCAAATTTATTGTAGAAACAGTCTGAACCACCATTGTAATTATGAGTTGATTTTTTTTTTTTTTATGATAATACTATTTCATTGAGAGAAAATAAGATTTAAACATTGGACTCCCTTCGACAATGTTTGAACAAGAGCGAGAATTTAAGAAATTTAGTTAAAAATTATTTTTATTATTAATATACATCAATTTGATACTTAATAGAGTTAAATTAACTTAGAGTTGAAATACATCATTGATAAATTATTGTACTTATTAAATAATTATAATTTAATTTTTTTAATCAATTAGCTTACATAATTATTGGAATTTTTATTTAATTAGATTAGATTACTTTTGACTTCAAAGATTAAATAAAGGATATATATATAAAATATATTGAAATAAAATTAAGTCTAAATGCTTGATTCCTTTATTAACTATATATTCTTTTTCGAGCCTTAAATTTTTTTAAAAAATATAATTTTAATTCCTCAATTTTTTTTTCTTAAGATTTTATAAAATAATTTACAAAAATTTTAGTAGGAGAAATTAAATAATTTATAAAAACTTTAATCGCAAAAATTAGGAGAAAATGTAAATTAAGTCTAGATGAAAAGATAAGACATTAATAAAAAAAAAAAAAACATGTAATAAAGTAAAAATATATATACATATATATATATATATAGGAACACAAGAAGTTAGTAATTTAGAATAAAAAAATTGAAATAGTTGGACAGATTCAAACGACAAGATAACATGTGAGAGCAAATGATTAGGTCATTGATTAAGGAAGAAAATATTATCTGACAATTTCAAAGAAGAAAAGAGTTAATAGATTGAGACCTGTTTCCATGGAAAGTGTCGTGTTGCAGCAAAAGCCGTGGTGACAGCCGGGTTCATATGGGCGCCGGAAATGTGTCCGACCGCGTAAATCATCACCGTCACAATAAGGCCACCGGCGACCGAGGCACCAAGCTGCGACACTCTTTGTGCATCGCTCCCATTCAATGCTGCCGCCCCACACGTTACAAACACTAACAAATACGTCGCTATCACCTCCGCCACAAGCTGTAAAAGAAAAACACAAAAATGCGTCCCTTAACTAGCTGAATTATACTCAAATTAGGTTCGTTTGGTGGAAACATAGTAATAATGGTAAGGATGGTACCTTCCGAGAAAAGCTGGGAGGGTAATGGTTTTTGAACAACGATCCAAACTGGTAGCGTTTGGAATCGGGGTTTTCAACGGAGACAAATTCTTCAACATCCACAACGGATTGTTGTTGAACAAGCTGAGGATCCTGAGAAGAACTCATTTTTGGAGGAGAAGGAGGAAGAACCCTTGTCTTCTCTCTCTGTTTCAACGTAAACGCTGATAATATTATAAAAACTGCGCTTATGCATCATGTTGAACCAGGCTACCCTTTTTATAATGAAGGTGAACACACATGTAGTGCTCCAAGTGGTTGGAGATTGGCATCTTTTTCTAATATAGCATCATCATTTTAAATTCACAACAATTTCCGTTAAATTTTTGAATTTTTTCTTTTGGACTTCCTCTCAAAATTAATAGGGAGAAGTTTTCACACTCAAATAAAAAATGATTCATTTCTCCCTTTAGTCAACGTGGATCTTGTATATTTAGTGTAACATATTTACGAGGGATGTAACATAAAATTTAGATTTATGAATTATTGTTCTACATCGATAGTAAAAAAGAGAATTTCACTTTAATTTATAATGTATTTTTATCCAACTCATTTACTTTTTTTTAGGATGTGTAAAGTATATGTAATGACTAAATTGGAAAAGAATATGGAGAAATTAAAAAAGGAAAATTAAGAAAAAGAAATTAGGGGAAAGTGGAGAAATTGGAAATTGGAAATGAAATAAAGAAAATGAAAAAAAATAAATAAATAAAATAGAAAAAAATGAAGGAGGGGTACTTTGGTAATTTTAGGTTTTATTTAAATTAAAATTGAAGAAAATAAAGAAAATGAAGGGAAAAAAAATAAGGAATACAGCGTTATCTGGGATTCGAACGCACGTTCCCGATCAGTAGGCTAACAACATGTTGCACACGTGGCTCTGCGCGTGGGTGAGCTTCCGACAACGCATGGGACATGTTGTTTTTTCCTCTTTTTATTTTTTTTTTTTCGATTCGACTTTAATTTTATTCTTAATTTAATTTTGTCTTAAGGCCTTCTAAGGAATTTGGTTCTATCCAAATCAAAATAGGAGACAAATTGCTCCAAGAAGGAATAACAAACGTCGAGCTATTTGGAGTAGCTAATTTAATTCTTACTTATTATGTTTAGAAATTATTATCAAGCATATGTTTGATTAAGTAGGAATTAAATAGAGTAAGGTCTTTTGATTACGTTAGGTATATTATGATTCGTTAAGCATATTGAGTTGTGTGTAACACTTAAGATAATTAGATAAGAAATTCCATCATAATATGATGAAATATATGCTTAGTACAAATTCTAAGAACTAGGTTTTGATGTACGATGAATGTATGATTGAAGCTTGTACTCATAACATGTCGGGATTTCTTGATTAGTTAGGATACTATGTTGATTGCTTGTGTGGTATGTGCTCTACTATGTGTAGATGAAGAGGGGTTCTATTAACTAACTCTTATTCGTCAACTTGGCTCATAAGGAGACTACGGCAAAGAACGCATAATGAAAATTATCTGGTACGAGATGCAAAAGGTAGGCTCGAGGGACGTGATATAGACTCTGTTAGTGAACCTGCCTTGAAAAGTAGAAATCTACATTTGTACATTATATGTTGGAAGTATAATATGTCATTTAGTTGGATGGAAAAGATAATGAAAGCACGTAATCAACATGTTGAGTGTGAAGTTAAGGCCATGCGTATGCCTAACTCTCAAGCTTGCTATTTAAGTCATTAGAGAGTCTAGTACACAAGTCATAAAATAAGTCTTATCTATGGTCTTAGAGTGTCTATTGCAATATAATTTGAGAAACATAGTTAATCGTAACACCCTACGACTCTTGTACGCTGAAAATCAAACGTTAAAGAGTTGAGAAAAAATTAGATAACTCGAGAGTAGAGAATGATAATCTAATTAAGCCAAATAGTATGCCCTACTTACCAGTCACGTGATGATATAGTGACTGATAATCGCTCGTGACTTTTAATTCTTAGATTACCTTAGAACTTCACTCTAATCCAAGTTCGGCTCATTAATTATCGTTAGAATATTGATTTTGTGACAAAGTCATAACTCTATGGTTTATAATATATTGTATTAAATGATGTGCAAGGGATACTTTCATTAAATATAGAGTAGTTTTCATAACAACCTTATTATATTTGTTTTAAAAACAGCATCTTGTCAAGTTGTCACAAGAAGGAAATAAATAAAATAACTGTCCATGTATAGAATTTTTCAGTCATCGTCTTTTAAAAAATATGTGATAACCAAAATATCTCCAAATTTAAATATGTGCATTCTTTTCAATTTGCTTTTGATTATATATTAATGATCTTCCTCTTGTCGGACTTTGATGCACTCCCAACAATACTTACTCGAACAAATCATTACGAAATTTTCACTCAAATAGTCATCTATCCGTCTAACTCTTATCCAGATCAACTCATTTTCTCTTGAGTATACTGTCTCTCCAATAACATAATATACACAAGATTTAGTTGCTGGTTGAGTCATTACAGCTTCAGCTTGAATGGTTGATTTGGTCGTTATTAGTTACTTGAGCTAATTGAGCGTTGATAGATGTCAAACATCAACTTCAAATACTATTCAAGTCTTCTTTCCTGAATTTTCACTCAAATAGTCATCTATCCGTCTAGCTCTTATCCATACCAACTCATTTTCTCCAGAGCACACTGTATGTTCAATAAAACTCTACCACTAATCTCTATCATAGTTATGTCTTTGAGAACTAGATTAAACCAACATAAGTCAATTATGGGCATGACTCTGACACAATTATAACGGACAACAAAATCATGACATATCTTCACAATGACACAATATTATTCATTTTGAATATAAACTCTCATGATTTGCTTCGGTTTCCTCTCAAGTTAAAATAAAATAACTAGTTTATATAGACATAATCTTCCACTTATCTAGTCTATATTAAACTTTTATAAGAAATATCAATACATATCTAAACATGTTTATTTTATTGATATTTCTTTCTAAATTTTATAAAATTGAGACTATTACATTAGCTATATAATAATCTTTCATCATAGCCAATAATTGTCCTATAACAAAGCTCCATGTAGAATAATTAATGAGTAATAAAGATGATATTGACCCGTGTAAAAATGTTTATTTATAAATTTAATAGGTGAGAATATAGTTAATTAAAATACCAAACGTATAGAATTCATGGTTTCTTCCCATCTCATGTGTGACTAAAGATAAAGAAATGACAATAGGAAAGGGTCGAGCCAAATCTCGGAGGAACCTCTTGATCCACATATAATTTTTTTAAGTCTATTATAAGTTTAATCTCTTGTCCTTATATCCTCTATATATTAATTTGGATGATCATATGGTTAATAGTAATATTAAATATAATATAAAATTTATATGATATCACGTGATGAAATCATGCGAATATAATTGACAATTTTTTAATATATGTGAGTGGAACCCAATGACTAGATTATTAAATTAAAATATAGTAATTAAATGATGTTTTGAAAGAAGATGAAATTATACAATTCAAAGAAGTATATTTATATCGGTTTATAAGTTTTTTTTTTTTTTTAATTATCTACCTTTAGTGATGACATCTATTTTACTACTTAATATTTATGTACTTGATACTCACCTCAACTAACATACCATATTAATAAATGTGAACATCATTATATTAATATATATTTTTAAACTATGTTATTTAATTAATTAATTAATATTGAAATAGCAATAAATAAATTTTTTTATTAGGTTTAGAGATTAAATTAAATAGATATTTTGAATGTTTAACAAAAAAAAAAAAAAAAAAAAAAAAAAAAAA